CGAGGAGACAGAATCGATTTGCAATAATGCAAATGACATAACTATTATGTAATAAAAATAAAAAATTTATAAATTTACAAAATATTTATTATTTTGTAAACATATAAATTTGTTATTTAACAAAATATTGTTAAATATTTTAACAATATTTTGTAACAACTTTGTAAAAATTTAAATCAAATACTGTTTTTTTTTTTAAATAACTGAATCAAAATTAGATTTAAAAAAAATGTAATTGTATTTAGTTCAATATCATCAAAATGAATTTTCTCACTTTTTAATTTCTTCAGAAAATTTAAAAAACCAAAACATCAGTGACTCCTCAGCAAAATATAAGGCCAAAAAAAATTTGATTCGTAAAGTAGATATATCTCTAATCTATAAGAAAATTAAAACCAAAATATTTTTCTATCAGTCAGATTTACATATATATAAATATATATATATATATATATATATATATATATATATATATATATATATATATATATATATATATATAGAGAGAGAGAGACATACATACATACATACATACATACATACATACATACATACATACATACATACATACATACATACATACATATAAAAATTTATAGATACATACATATATATGTTTCTATAGGTATTTAAAAAAGTAAAAAAATAAAATTACAAGAAAAACGGTAACAATTTTGTAATAGAACAGCCTTGTTGTACCTTATCTTGTATAACATCATCAGTGACATATTAATGTTAATATAGTTGTCATTGCTCTTTTTTATTGCCATTAGTTAGTGCTTTTGTAGATCGTAAAATAAACTATATTTTGTAGTTTTGAGAGATACAAATCTATAATTTTCATATGAAACAGGATTCAAACTCCTTTCGTACCAAATTTTAGTTTGAAAAATTACCACAAGCACCTTATAAGGGTAATAGTATCCGGACACATTTCCGGCACCCCCCCCCCCCTCATTTTTCAATCAAAATATAACAAACTTTAAGTTGCTGCAATTTTTTAAGGGATAAAAAATTAAAAAAAAAAACTAACAGTCTTACATCTTTACACATTTGTGCCAAATTTTAGCGAATTCAGTGAGTTATTCTATTTAAATCAAATTAACGTTTTTGTAATAATTAACTGTTGTTAAAAATTATTTTAATACATTTTATTGTACATTATTATTATTTAAATTTTTGAAAATGTTAATTCGATGGAAATGGAGTAATATTTGGTTATATTTTGCGGCAAATCAAAAATAAAGGTCTTATTAATCGTAAGATTGGTCAAGAAAAACACCTTTGTCAATTGATGGTTTTATTAGGAATCTTTTAACTGTCCACGGCATGTTCATATTACATAACTTTTGTCCAAAAGTGTGTTTTTGAAAAATGAAACATTGACAACATTGATGACATTGAAATGCTCAGGTGGTGAAAAAAATAAAAAACCTTCTTGTAAAAATGGGTACGCAACTTTAAAATTATAGATTAAATTCAAAATAGTTAAAAATAATCATACTTCAAATTTATGCATCTTTCTTGGAAACCCTATAACAAATCAATTGTAAAATTAACATCTGCTAAAGTTACATCTCTTTATCGTGCTTGTCATTTTATTACTTCGGATTCCATTCTTTATCTCTATAAATTTCAAATCTATTATATTGTTGAATATTGTTGCCATATCTGGGGCGGATCTTCCAATGATGTCCTTTCTCTTTTAGATAAGGTACAAAAACACATTAAAAATATAGTTGGACCTTCCTTTGCAGCCAACCTTTAACCTTTGTTGTAATGTTGCTTCTCTTTCTCTTTTCTATAAATACTATAATAGGCGCTGCTCAAAAAGGGCTAGCATTTCTTGTGTCATCTACTAAAATTCGTTCTTCTGTTACTCGTCATTCAATCAAGTCTAATCCTTTTACTGTCACTGTTCCTAAGTGCTCCAAAAATTTGTATTTGTCAAGTTTTTTTCCTCAACCATCAGTTCTTTTGAATTCTTTTCCTTCATTTTTTTTTCCTGATTCAAATAATTTGCCATCTTTCAAACTGTCTGCTAATTTTTATCTCGCTTTATAAACCTTATCTTTTCTCTTCCAGTATCTTCAAATCTAATAGTATTTGTTTTCAGCCTTGTTGGAAATAAAGATAATTAAAAAAAAACAAAAATTATTTTATTCTGATTAATTTTCAAAAAAAATCACCCACAACACGAAATTTTTAAAGTGGTTTATATTAGTATTTGCAAGCAATAGCAATATGAATTTCTAAAGACTAAAATTATCTTGAACCTTATGGAACTTTCTAGAATTTTCTGGAATGATCGAGATGTTTTAAGAAATCTCTGAAATTCTAGAATTTCCAAGAATCTTCTAGAAGTTCATGGAAATTAGCAAGATTTAGACTATATAAGCTGCCTGATCGAGCAATGTAATAATTATATATGAATCTGTATTCGCCAGATAGCAGTCAAATAAGATAAAAGTACAAAAGTACTTATATTTATTATTGTTGCCTTTCAGAAATATGTTTAAGTGTTATCTTCAATTATAATGTACTATAACCAAAGTGCTTCCACTACTGAAAAAAATAAGGCAAAACGATCTGGATGAAGAGTCTTATACAATTTAATAAGTCTTTTGCTCGGGGATGTTACTCACAAAAATAAGTTAAAGCCTCAAAAGATCGCTTTATTTATGCTAAACTTCATTCAGCTTACTTTGTTTTACGTTTAAAATTAAATTAACCAATCCCCAGTTTCTTTTGGTGATTTATACTAATGGTTTTCTTTACATGATCATGTAAATAAAATATATTAATATAACGAAATATATATTTTGCCAACCAAAATATAAATCAAATATTGGAAAATATCGCATTTTGTGGAGCTTTTTTATAGAATAAAATAATTTTAAAACATTTGATTATACTGATTGGAGTTATTATTCCTTTTAAAGAAAACTAAAAGAAATCATTTTTACAATTGATGTCATTTTTCTATATTTTTGAATAGTGGATTTTAATCGCTTCTTTAAATATTAAAATATTTTATTTTGAAAAAATATTTAACTTTAAGATTATATATTTTTGGCTGATGTTGGTATTTATATTTTGTCAAGCCTTTGTATGTTTTTTTTCGGTACATTTTTGCGTACCAAAGTACTACTCAAGCGCTGAGTTGACGGTCACTGGATATGAATCGCACAACAGCCCGGGTTTTAACAATTCATTTAACGCTCTAACCAACTGAGTTTTTCAGCCACATATCGTTTGTATAAACGAAATGATAACAACTTTTGCTTGGAAGTTAAATGAGATATAGAAAATTAGATTTTTATATAATTACAAATATAAAAAAAAAAAATTGTAACAAAAAATAAATAATTAACTTATTACAGATATTCAAAAATTTGCATTAAAGTTGTTAAAATTTTAATGCAAATTTAACAAGCATTAAATGTGTTAAAATTTCTTTCTCAATATACGTTTTTATATTGGCTTACATTTTAAATAGAGGAAGTGGGGGCATAACAGTATATGGAGGCACAACCGTTTTTTAATATTACACTATGAAAAACATTATCACTTGTTTTTTGAATATCAATAAGAGCTACTCTTACTTTTTTAATGTCAATTAGAGTGCCTATTTCGTTTCTCAGAAGTTATGCATAGTATTGCTTATTTTGATAAAAGTATTATATTTACATCATATTTTTCCAGACCTTTTTCTGCTGGTTAAGCAAAAAAAAGGTCTGGAAAAATTGTATGAAAATCCAATTTGTGTTATCAGTGTAATTTCATTAAGTGAAAACTATTTTTGATTTCAATATAATCTAATTAGCAAGCAATCAAACTGTATTATTTCTAAAAACCGTCAGTTATTTCTAAAAACCGTCAGTTATTTCTAAAAACCGTCAGTTATTTCTAAAAACCGTCAGTTATAATACAAGGCAAAGAGTATAAGTTGTTGTCTTGTTATATTTATGTATATTTGGTGATGGCTTGCACAGTGTAAATGTGCAAAAAAATCAGTAGATGGACAGAGCTGTGAGAATTGTAAAGAAAATTTACCACAAAAAGTTTACCTTCAACAATTTTTGTGAGGGTGCGTTTGTGCCTCAAAATGGGGGCACAATCGTTTTTTCACTAAGTGTAACTTTTGTGTAATAAAACTTTCAAAACTGTTTTATTTTTTCTTTATTATTGCAATTCAAAGCTTATTAATGTGATTATTAAAATAAAGTTTTTAAAAAATACAATTTTTTTTATTTTCATATAACATTATTCCGAACGTTACCCCTAACGTTTGGATTAATGTTAAATGAAATGCTGTTATGACCCTTCCGCCTCCTTCTTCTAGTTATTTTTTTAATTGTGCCTTAAAATAGTATATTTTTCCTTTTTTAATTTTAATTTTGCATTGAAATAAATTTGAAATCCTACTTTTTAAACACTTTTTTCCTTCTTATTTGCAAGAGTTTTATTAATAGGTATTGGAATGATATTAGGTCCCGAAGCTTTGCTGTCATTAAGAGAATGAATAATAAATAATACTTCGTTTTTGTCTGTAGGTTTTATAAATATTGATTTAAGGTTAGGATTTTTAAGATATTTATTAAAGTCAGTATTGGATGTATTAACCGCCTATAAATTTGATCTCTGGCCAAAAAACCCGTCAAACGCCTTGAAATTAAGTTGAGGCGCTAATTGGTTTAAAAATATTTACTTAAAAAAAAATTGAAAAAAAAAGCATTTATGGTTTTAAAGAAATCTCAATTTAAAGTTGATCGGGTTTTCCCATGTCTAACCGATATTCTAGTTTATCCCGAAGAAGCAGCCAATAAGTAGATTTGTTTTCAACGGTTTAACTAACAAGTTTGATCAACGCTCTAACAAAGTTTGCTTCTATCAAAACTTTTTAAATTTCTTATAATAAACTTTTGGTGTTTTAAAATTGTAAAAATATACCCTCAAATTGAAAAAATTTATATATATAAAAAAAAGATACATATGAAATTTTAAACCTATTGATAAATACAAATTTAATTTAGGACTGCATTAAAAAAAAAATTTTAAATAAAATTTGGGAAGTAGAAGGTAAACATAATAGAATTCGGTGGTTACTTTTTTATCCATGAAAAAAATTTTCTAGTCGGTATCAAACATTTTTGGATATTCATTGTTTTAATAAGATTATTTTTCGTAAGCGTAATTCCTTCTTTAAACTTTTGGCAAAGCGAGCAATAGTACGAATTGGTATCTAACTTCCAACTGTTTTTCCACTCAAAATATGAATTATACTTTGATCGGTTTGTACTAACGCTTAAAATATGATTAGCAAGAGCTTTTGGTGAATCAAAACTCATTGCATCAATAAAAGATCCAGGGATGGCTAGTCTAGGATCAGAATAGTTGGAACCTCCTAAAACTATTGGAATAACATCATTATTCAAAGCAGTTTCCCAATACTTTTCTGTTATATAATCCTTGCATAAACGGTTTTCTGCTGAAAAGTAAAACTTGAAGTATTTCAAATCATTATAACATGGTCTTTTTTGACACGAGGATTTAAATTTTTTTGAGTAATATTTAGAGCATACACCTGAGACCTCGAAATCAATTCCGTATAAACGTAATTTTTGAACAAGTTTGCTTCTTTCCTTTCCATTACAGTTGCTTACAAACCAAGCTACCATTTTGTTTTTATGTGAAAAATTATCAATTTTTAAGGTCTTTTTTTCAGAAATATTTTTTTTTGTATGATATCTGTACGGAATTCGAATATCTGAGTTTATTGCGTACGTTGAGACTATATTAAAAAACACGCTAAACTCTTCTATATTGGCATTTTTAGGAAAAGGTTCCATACTAAAATAGATCCAGAGTTGTCCAAATTTTCGATTAATTTGTATTTTCTGTAATTTTGAAAACGATGGCATGTTAGGACCATGGAATATTACAACGTCACTTTTATAAAAATCGTTTTCATCATGTGATACTTTAAAATTTGATGTGTCAAAGTTGCAAGTGAGATTTTTGAAAACCGGCCATGGTTTTACTCCAAAGAAAGATGTATATGCAAGAATCAAAATGGGTTTTTTACCTAAATGAGAAAAAAAAAAAAAACATATTAGATTATTACTAATTTATTTAGTTTCGTTAAATAGTAAAAATTGACTGGATTATCGACTAACTTTATATAAGTAAAATTTAAATGTAAAGAGTATATTTTTCTTGTGGTAAGCAACTTTTTATCGTGTAATGATTAATTTAATTCAATCATTACGAAATAACGTGTATAATCCGTAAATGGTCCCCACAATATATATATATATATATATATATATATATATATATATATATATATATATATATATATATATATATATATATATATATATATATATATATATATATATATATATATATATATATATATATATATATATATATATATATATATATATAATAATAATAATCATTGAGGAATAATAAGTTGGTATCTGATTTAGAAACTCAAATAAATTTCAGAACATTATGTTCAATTTGTTCATAAATTCTGATGCTGATAAAGAAATCCTAACCATTGAAATTTGTAACAACATGGTATTCAAGATCTTTTTCACTTAATATTTAATTTTATTAACTTTTTTATTTACGTTTAATGATTTTAAACTTTAAAAATGAATGAAATAGATTATATACTTACCAAACGACAGTTAACCGTCATTGAATAATGCTACCCATGCAGTAAGCAACGGGCGAGTATACGGGTACCATTCAACACCATTAGTGGTAGATCGCATATAAAATACTTATTTCAGATATTGTTTTTAAACGTATCTTATTCAAAATGGTATCGTCTTTTCTTTGGTGTATGTATAAAGCAGAGTTTACACTTAAAAATGTATTTAAAATCTAAATTAACAACATTTTTTTATTTTAGCAACTCCATATTAACCACAAAATCATCTAATGTTTATTATATGAAAAAATAACAAAAAAAATCTTTTTTCATTATTTTGGCTGCCGTGCTTTTATTTGTTATTTATCTTCTTCATTTTTAAAGAAATTAAAAAAAAATTTTTTTTTTTCACTTTTCACTAAGTTTATTACAGCATTTAAAAAAAAACACAAAAAATACTATTTTCCATGATGATGAAAAAACAACTTTTTTCCATAGATGACTTGCCGTGCAACCATCACAACAAACGCGCGCGTAGTTGTACGCAGAAAACATTAAAACTCTATAATGATACATTCCTAAGTTTATTATATAAAAACACACAAGCAAGTGTTTTTAGCATGTTTCTTTTCCTTAAATTTCAAGTAGTTCTTTTGCAAATTTTTAATTCAGATTGCTCTTGTAAAACAAAAACAACAAAATTCAACAAAAAATGATGGCAAAGTTTACAGCATATTCAAAAGACCTAGTTTTAGAAAAATTATAACAGTGAATAGGTTGATTCACTATGCCCCGTTAACGATCTTAAAGCTTTAATTCATGCATTTTTAAAAACAAAATACATAAAAATGAGTTTATTAGTTTAAAGTTATGAATGATAATATTTGAATGATTATTTAACTTTTTAACATTTTTAAAAGTTTTATTATCAATAAAATTATTTTTTTTTCTAATCAATTTTCAGAATCTCTATTTTTTCGATTTTATTCTAATCTAATTAATAAAAGTGTGCCAAAATTATAGTGTACATTGTCTTTACTCCATCAGCCTCAGGGTTGGCGAAAACCCGGGTTTTTTTAAAAAAACCCGGCCCAGTAGGTTTTTTTGGGTTTTTTTGGGTTTTATTGGGTAAATTTGGTTTTTTTTGGGTTTAATTTTTATTTTTTCCCTGTAAAAAATTTTTGTGTGTTTTTGTTTAAAGATATTGAAAATTAGTTTCATTTTCTAATTTAACTTTATTTAAAATATATTTTATATATTGTTGTTTAATTATTTATAAGCGGCAGGGGCCTTGTTTCACTACTTCTCATTTAAATTCAACTTGGGAGGTGAATAACATAAAGTAATAAAAATCTCAATCAATAAAGATATTTGAATAAAAATTGTAAATGTATTTCCAAATAATGATTCAAATAATAGTAAACCTGCTCTGATAGCTGTTATTGTTGGTTATAATAGTTAATAATAATAGTTAATAATAATTTAGTTAATAATAATAGTTAATAATAATTTGGTCAATAATAATAGTTAATAATTATTTTAGTTAATAATATTATAGTTATAATGTTAAAGTTGGTCATAATAGTTCATAAACTTAATAAATATCTTTAAAAAAACCCAATATAACCCAGATTTTCCAGTGTTTTATTGGGTTTTTTTAGGCGGGTTTTTTTGGGTTTTATTGGGCGGGTTTTATTGGGCGGGTTTTTTAATGCCAACCCTGATCAGCCTCATAGTCATTTGGCTATGCCCTTTTCAATATTATTAATTAACAACTTTGTTCATTGATTCACTGTGCCCCAGTACTAGGGCACAGTAATAACGTAACGCAACTCACTTTAAACCTTTCTGTGAGTCATTAGATAATAAATATTTGGATTTTAGTGATTTATTATCATGAAGGATATATTCCTTAATCCTATCGCCTTAAAAAAAATAAAATACATATTTTAACTTTTGCTCAATTTTAAAAACAAAGAAGTCCGATCCACGGTGCCCTAACTTCCCCTACACTCATATTAAGACAAACGAAGGTATTAATATAAACCAAAGTATTATCTAATAAATTGAGTGATCCACACATTCATATAAATATTGGGAAAGATTTTATACATTAATGTCCTCTATTTACATAAATACAAACATAAGAAAGCTGTCTAGAGTAATTTGTTTCCAGATAATTATATTCTTATGTAAAAGCTATGATTTTTAATGTTTCGATGGTAGCATATTTAACATTGAATTCTCTATGTAGTGAATTAATAGTAGTAGATTAAAACTCAAGCTGGTATAGAAAACTTTATTCAGCAAATTAATAAATATGGTAACCTAAAGATACAGTCTAATTATTTTACATTTTACATAAAAGAAACACAATAGTTATCGAATAAAAATAGTAAGCATTAGGAATCAGCGCACTCTGTTAGCAATTATATAGCCACTAGGTTTAAGCTAATATCTAATAAAAGTTCATTTTAATATAGTAATCTGTCAGATGCACAACCACTCTAGTCAACAGATATTAAACTAATTGCTGTTTTTTATTATATACAAGTTTGATGGTGTTAATATGTTTATAACTGAACCAAGCAGGGCCACAATGAGGGAGGGGTGGAGGGGGGAAAGATTTTGTCCCGGGCAGATATTCATGATGCGCCAATAGAAAAGTAGATACCTAAAAAAAACGGTCCCTCATCTATAATATGGGGAAATTTTGATAAATAAGGACGCCAATCAGGGTCGCTGCCTTAGGCGGCGTGGCGGCTCTCGGCGGCCCTGGAACCAAGTTTGCTATCGTAAAGTTAAATTTTTTTTTCTTGCAATACAAACTTCACTACAATCAATATTACAAACAGTCTTTAAACTTTTTTTCAAAAACTTTTTTAGAGGTTATTCTTTACTGTTCATCAATTCAATTACTTTTAAGATATAACCTATTGCAGGGCAGTAGAAGAGTAGGCATTGCAGTAGAAGAGTATCTTTATTTGATTCGTTTTAGCTTTATAGGCACAATATTATAATGGTCCTCTAACAACAATCACAAGTGAACAAAGTTTTAACTCTTTTGAAGAGAGCTCTCGAATAAAAGTTTTTTTTCAGGCTTTTGTTCGTCTGATATTAAATTTTGATATAAAACATATGCTTACTTTTTTCAAGTTGAATTATTCAATTAAGTTTTGTGCTGAATTAATTGAAAGAAAAAAGTTTAAAATTCTGTTTTTTAGATATTGTGTTGATAATATATAGAAACAGTAGACTTATAATTAGGTAGTTTGGTATCATAATGTATTTCCTCAGTATATTTATCAAGATCGATATCGTAGGTGATAATATTGATAGTCAAATGATTGTCGTTTTTTAAATAAAGCATCATGAGGAACTTTTATATTCTTTTTTCTAGATTGAACTAGAAATTGGAGTTACGAAGGAGTTATGGATAAGGCTAATCCATTAGCGTTAATCCAGTTTCACGTCATACATACGTCATACATACGTCATACGTCTTCTACTTTTAAAAATTGAATTTTAAAGTTTAAATCCACATTAGTTTTCAAATCTTTTTGAATAGTTAGCTACACAACATCTTGTTGAAATATTTTAGTTTTTGTTAAAGAACATACAAATATATCTGTGTTGTTACTGCAGTAACAACATAGATATCTATGTTGTTACTGCAGTAACAACATAGATATCTATCTTGTTACTGCAGTAACAACATAGATATCATAGTTGTTACTGCAGTAACAACATAGATATCTATCTTGTTACTGCAGTCACAACATAGATATCTATTTTGTTACTGCAGTAACAACATAGGCATATTTGTATGTTCTGTTAGGAAATCTATTCACTGTTTCATTTTTTAACAAAAACTAAAATATTTAAACAAGATGTTGTAGCTACTTTACTAAATGGCCTTCCTTTGAAAACGTCATTAACAGCTGCCTTTATTATATCGCAAGGTATAAAAGACTTGCATATGTTTACATTGTCGTTTTTAAAAAAGATGCAAACATTTGCAAGTCTTTTATACCTTGCGATATAATGAAGGCAGCTGTTAATGACGTTTTCAAAGGAAGACCATTGAGTAAAGTAGCACGCAAGTTTAGCATAGATCAAATCTGAGCGCAAAAAAAAAAAAAGAGAAATGAGTCAATTCATAGAAACATTTTGTTTTGACTTTATTTAAAGATGGTATTTTTCTGTAATATGCTTAAATTACCAGCATGCTTAATACATGCAGGGTAATTTAAGCATGCATTATGCATGCTTAAATTACCCAGTGTTTTTCATTGAAATTACCTAGTTTTAAGTCCTAAAATAGCAGTGGTTTTATTTGTTTTTTGAATAAAAACCAAACATAGTAAAAAATTTTATATTTTAACATAACTAAATATTTTTCTGTCACTTAAGTTCCAAAAATTTGTAATTTTATTGTTCAAAGGTTTAAGTTAATAAAATTGAAAAAATAACGAACTAATTTTTTTTTTCTTTCGGAAAACGTAGTAGTATTGTTTCAACAAAAAGTGGCTTAAATTTTTATCTTTTAATGATAAGTTTTGTTATTACCGAATCATTATCTTTCCAAAAATGAGTTCTAATTGTCCGGTCAGTATTTTTTAACTCAGTTAATGTTATTTTTTAAGCTAATGTAAAATGCTCATATTACTAAGTGGTGTGGGTAATATGAGCATTTTTGCTACTTTTTTAAAATCTCTGTGTTTTTAAGAAAAATTTTTGGATGCCCAAATATCTAAGTGGATAAGTAGGGATTGGATCGCAAAAATTTTGATCCAGCGTAATTATTTTGAATTCCAATTTTCGCTTTAAGTGCTCATATTACCCAAATCTACCCTAAATAAAATTTTCATTTTTATGGTTTTAGCATTGATGAAATTATGATGATGAAAATGTTGGTGATGAAAAGTAACATAATTGTGTAAGTAACATACTTGTGAAGAGTAACAACAATAATAACATATTTGTAATTAATAATAGGATAATTGTTAAAGAAACAAACAGACAAAATAAGTCTGTTTATTATTTGTCACTGGTATGTTTGCATAGTCTATAACCCTTTTCAATAACCGTGCTCCTTATGCAAATTACGCTTGTTTTTTAAACTAAATTTGTATTTTTATCAAGATTTGCTAATTCTACCAATACATACTTCTTCAAACCCAGAAAAAAAAGTTCTATAAAATTTTCTATAAACTTTTGAAACATATGGCCTATAGAAACTCTATAGAATTTCTATAGAATGTCTGTTATTTTCTATAAGAATTGCTATAAACTTTTTTTCTATTAAAAAAAAAAAGTAGAAATAAAAATTTCTATAAAAATTTTTATGAAGTCTACAGAAATTTAATAGAACTCTATAGAATTTCTATAGGCCATATGTTTCAAAAGTTTATAGAAAATTCTATAGAATTTTTTTTCCTAGGAATGCAAAAAATATAAATGTTACGGATGGTTGAACTTTTTTTCTTTAGATTATTCTAATTCGTAAAGTCTTTTAAAAAAATTTGGAGCCTATCTGTTTGTGAAGTGTTCTATTTGTTTGTGAAGTGTTCTGTTTGTGAAGTGTTCTATTTGTTTGTGAAGTGTTCTATCTGTTTGTGAAGTGTTCTATCTGTTTTTGAAGTGTTCTATTTGTTTGTGAAGTGTTCTATTTGTTTGTGAAGTATTCTGTTTGTGAAGTGTTCTGTTTGTGAAGTGTTCTATTTGTTTGTGAAGTGTTCTATCTGTTTGTGAAGTGTTCTATTTGTTTGTGAAGTGTTCTATTTGTTTGTGAAGTGTTCTATTTGTTTGTGAAGTGTTTTGTTTGTGAAGTGTTCTGTTTGTGAAGTGTTCTGTTTGTGAAGTGTTCTGTTTGTGAAGTGTTCTGTTTGTGAAGTGTTCTATCTGTTTGTGAAGTGTTCTATCTGTTTATGAAGTGTTCTATCTGTTTGTAAAGTTTTCTGTTTATTTAATATATTTAAATACTTAATATTTTATTCTTATATTAGAAACTGCTGTTAGAACCTATGAACTGCTTTTAGTTGCTAGAAAAAAGAAAATATAATTAAAAAATTTTTTACCTGCTTTTACATTCACTTTACTCAAATTATGAAGTATTTCGATCTCGACATTATGTGTATATAAATATGTTGTATCAGCTAAACTCAATATTTGTTCCGAATTGTTGTAGACAATTAATAATGTAGTGAAACAAAGTAAGAAAGTAAAATGAAATATTTGTTTCAACGACAAACTCCCCATAGCGTTAGATACTTCTAAAAATGCAGTAAAGTTTAGAATTTTTATCAGTTTTGAACTTTTGAATATGAACTTTGGTTACATTGGAATGTTCAAATTTATTCAAAATCAAATAATAACTAGGAAAAAAAAATTCTTAATAACTTTTAGAATATTTTATTTTTGCATCTACAAACGCTTCTTCAACTTATGTTTTCAATCAATCCGGATTTTAATATATTATTATCATGGTATTAAATATTAACATCGTTTTGAACGGGTTCAATTAAATAAACGTGTTGAGGTTTAAAACTAGTTTAAAAATGAATAAAGTAAAAAGTTTTTTTATTTGGTAATAAATTTTTATTGTGGAATTCATATTTTTACTTTCTTGCGTGTTTTAATTGCGTGTTTTCCAGCGTATACCGCGTCTTGTCGTGCATAACGTGTCTAACCGTATATGATTAACGTAGCCTTACCGCGTAAAACCATCTATGAAACCATTTGACCATTTATTATATAACTATATATTTAAAACTATAAAGTTTGAGATTAGTCATTTATTTATAATATTTATTTTTTAAATACCATTTTACGCTGTTTCCAATGTTGGCAGAGCAGCAAAAGTTGATTATTTTGAATTGAGAATTTCTTTAAGAGTTTTATGAAAGTCTAATAAATGAATAGGTTTCTTCAGGTATGTAATTGTCTAAATATTTTTAAAATTGTTTGAAATATATTTGGCCAAATAAATTAGCAAAAACTGTTTATAGATTAACTTAAATCTTTAATCAAAACTAATGAAAACTTGCCAGCTCTGAATATAATGGTTATTATAAGAAATAATGGTTATTATAAGAAACAAAAAAACAGTTCTTTTTAAAATAAAACTTTACTTCGATAAAAAATTTTGCATTAGATTTAAATGCTGTGATTAATAACTTCACTGGTCAACTCAAATTTTGTGGCATGAATATAAAAACTGTCTCTGGTTAACTTTAGGACGCTTAATTTCAAAATCATATTTAGTTAACTTATTAGGCTTCAGTATTTTTTCTATGTCATATGCGTTTGTTTTTTTTTTTTACTCCCACTGTTTATGTCAAGCTTAAAGTTATTTTTATGTATGATATGTGCGAGTTTGTAAATGTATAGGAGCTTCATGAGTATAGACAACTAGGTATATTTTCAATAGAAGATGCATGTAGACATTATATATTCTTATAAAAAAAAGTAAACCCAGTATTTCTTTTTGTGTAAATGATGTAAAAAGTTAAATATTAAAAAAAAATACAAATTAGAAAAGAAGATTGAACTTAATAACATAAATAAATAAAATGAATAATAAAAAAATGTTTTAGTTTGGGATAATTTATTCTTATAACATTCCTTTTACAATTCTGTTTTGCTTAAAGGTTAAACCTCAAAATTATTAAATTAAAACATTTTGTATTTACTAAAAATGGCAACATAAGTATGTTGCCATTTTTAGTACAAACAATGACATCGACTAGATCGCGCTAGATCACTCTTCTCTGACTTCTTTTGTTATGTGGCGAATAAAACTTAAAAGTAAATTTACAGGTTTTATAAAAATGTTTGCAAAAAATTTTGATAGCAGAGATATAATGAATTATTAAATCAAAATCAATTGATAAATTCAAACTTATATAAATGTAAAATCAAATTATAAAGTTATTCTTTGCCTCTGCACATTTAGGATGATAAAATCAAATTATAAAGTTATTCTTTGCCTCTGTACATTTAGGATGATAAAAAGAATAAATATTTAATGAAAATGATAGCTATACAAAGGAATTATTTTTATATAATTTTTCGGTTTAAGCAGTCATAAATAAAAACTGTCATTTTTTTCGGACCAGAAAAATCAGGATGAATTTACAACCCTAAACACAACATTTATTTAAAGATTTTTTTTTTTGCTTCGTTTAGGTGCCCCAAAAAGTCCTCACGGTCTTATCACAGAGCACCGCGAAAGAGCATTTGAAAGGAAGTTCACGCCTCCTTCTTACCGATCTTATATAACTTGTCCAGAGGTGGCGTTAAACCACGGATCTCTAGCTTCTTAGGCAAGCGTGCTAACCACAGCACTACGGCTGCTCAATGAAGCTGCGACTCTTCTTAATAAATGAAAGTGTTAAAGTAGCTGCAAATAAATACTTGTTTATAAAGGTTGAAAAATAACTTTTTGGATAACAAGAAAGTTAAAAACTACAAAAAATTGAAATAAAAAAAATATATATTGAAAAGTGGAGAAGTCTAGGAATAAGATGAATTAGTATACTAACTTACCAATCATATATACCATTTGCCTAAAATCTAGGTGATATCAAAATAAACTAAGCAAAAGATTTCACTAAGATATCATAGTAATAAAAAACGGTACTAAATAAGTTGGGATACTCAAATTATGTTAAACTTCTGTTTCTATACTTACTTACTTAAAAACTATAATTACTTTGCATTAAACAATTTATTATACAAAAATCTGATTTCAAATGAATTGCTCTACTTAACATGTTATTATTAAACTTGCTGACAAAATATATAAGTCGTTTGATAGTGATGAACTGGTATTAGGATTGTTTATTGATCTTTCCAAGGCCTTTGATAAAGTTGATCACAGTATTTTACTTTCCGAGCTCAAATATTACGGTATAATAGGCTTAACATTTAAGTGGATTCAAAGCTATTTTTTTAACAAAAAGCAATTTGTTTTACTAGAAAACTCAGGAGCCCTTAATATTAAGTGTGGAGTTCCTCAGGGTTCAATCCTAGGTCCATTTTTATTTTTAATATGTATTAACAACATGCCAAAAGCTTCTTAACAAATATCTACAATTATGTATGTTGACGATACAAATTTATTTTATAATCATACTAATGCAAAGGCTGTTTAAAACTATGAATATTGAAATCAAAAATTTCAACCTCTAGTTTATAGGAAATAAATTATCCCTAAATTGTGAAAAAACTAGCTTTACGCTTTTTCATTAAAAAAAAAATTAATTAATCTTTCTTTGAAACTGCCTAAACTACTTATTAATAAAAATAAAATTAAACGTGAAAAATATACAAAATTTTTAGGAATATTATTTTATGTAAATTTGTGATGAAGAAAACATGTTGGTCTTCTTGAACAACGGTGTCCTCTGTAATAAGTATTTTGTATAAGTCGAGAACTTTTCTCGATAGTAAATCACTTAATATGTTTTACTTTAGTCTTTTACATGGTCAGCTTTTCTACGCAAATATTGTATGGGCTAGCACCCATAAAACAAAATTGCTAAAATTGCAAAGCCAGCAAAACTATGCATGCAAAGCAATTGATTATTCAAATAGGTTAGTAAACCCAGCCCCAGAGATAAAAAGCATGATGGTTCTAGATATTGAGAAATACATTACAGATACTAATTTTTACGTATAAGTGTAAGAACAATTTACTACAAAGCGCTTTTTCTGATATTTTCTTAATATCATTCTCTGTAAAATATAATCTGCATTCAAATACCAGGTACAACTAATTTACCAAGGGAAAATTAAATTACAGCAGTCAAGTTTTCTAATTACAAACAATAGTCCATCAATATGGAATCATTTCCAAAATAAAAATATTAAAAGCCTAAAAAGTGTTTCATCATTTAAATGGCAAACTAAAATGTATCTTTTTAATTCCTGGTATAAATAATATTGTTTTCAGTATTTGTTTTCAGATTTTTGAATTTTATTTCTTCTTCTTTCTTTCTTCTTAATTGTTTTAACATTTTTTTGTTTTCAATTGTTTTTACACTTAAAAAAAAAGAAGAGCTTTTTATTGAATTTTTATTTAATTTTAAAAATAAAAGTTTTTTTTATTAATGACCCAGCCGGCACAATGACGTTGAAATAACGTTGAAACAACGTCGCAAACCGACCATATGCCACGTTGAAACAACGTTGAAATTTGGTTGAATTGGATATAAAATCCGACGTCGAAAACTCCGACGTTGAAACAACATCGACTACATATCAACCATATTTCAACTTTGAATAGGTGATATATTCGATTGATACGTAGTTGATAAGACGTTAAAACAACGTTGAAACAACGTAAATTCAACGTTGATTTTTGCTTTTTATTTTGGTTAAATCCAATTAACTAAAAAATTTTCTCAACTTTAATTGCAATAAATTAACACAATAAAAAAGCAATAATTTGCGCAGAGGATATTATATTTCACGTAAATTAATCAGATACAACTAAATTGCTTCAACGAACTTTATATACAATGCAAATAAAATAAAATGTTTGAAAAAAAAAAGTTTTATTTATCAGTATTATATTTATCAATTTATCAATAATAACTATTATCAATAGTTCCAGAACAACTAGGAAAAAGTATGAATGTTATACATCGGGTTAATCGCCTTTTACGCGCCGACCACCATTTGATCTGTCGAGTGCGTATTTTAATAAATTCATTATTCCTTTTCTTATTTCGGCAACTGTAGCAGTCACTTTAATTGACAAAACTCTCTCTATAAAAAAGGTATTGCCTGAGTAATTTTCATCAAATACATCAAAAAGTTAAAAATAAAATAGCATTAAAAAAACGAACTGTGATTTTTAAAAATATATAATTTTACACTTAACTTACAAGTAAATACCTAATGTTTGTTCCTTTAAATTTCTCTTTACCTTTACCGTCAGCCATATTAAATTTTGATTATAAACCATTGGTCAACAACCTACATTATACATTGTTATTAATATCATAGTAACAAAAATTGATATACATGTCTTTTACAAAATACAAATTATTCTTAATGAAAAATAGCACAAAGGTTTCTTACCAAAGGAAGAGTTTGGTCCAAGGAGACCACCTTCTAAACGCAAGAAAACACCAAGAGCGGACAGTATAATCAGAAATATCTGCATGGAAAAGAGAAAAAAAGCCACTAAGCTTATCCATGAAGCTGTAATTGTTGTGTCAGACCAGACCATTTGTAGAAGGCTAAAAGAAGAGGGATTGATGTCCAGCCGAAAATGTCAAAAATTGACAAAAAAAATTAAAAATAATGTCAAAAATCTAATATTTATGCAAGATGGTGCAACTTGCCACACAATAAAAACTGTTATGGCTTAGTTGATGTATTGCTATAGCCAGACAACTCACATGATCTTAACCCCATAGAAAAT